AATACTATTGATAGTATAGTTCAACCTTTGCAGTAGATGGTGTTTAATTCATGAAACCAGAAAGGAATACAGACAACCCAAAATAGAACCACCAGACAAAAAGAACAAGCAAAAGAAAGAACAGATGAAAACAAGATTATTTAGGGATTAGAACAGATCAGAACAAGTTTATTTAGATTAGAACAAATCAGAACAAGTTTATTTAAAGGTGGGGGCGTTCCTCCGACCAAGATTTTGAGAACTACATTTAACAAAGAATCTTGATCCTTAATTTAAACAAATCTAACGGGCGACATTCATTTCATTAAGACCATTTAAAATTTTCAAATGGGTCCCACCCAACACCAAATTGGCAAATACCCTCTCCACTCCATTAAGATCTCACCTACCCAGTTACCCCTCCCTTCTCTGAGTTTCTCTCTCTGTATATACATATATATAACAAGAGTATCAATTCTGTAGCGTTAGTCATAATTTTTTTCGTTTTTTACAGGATTATATAAACAACATATTACAAGTTCAATATGCATATATATACAAATATGTACAGAGAGAGAAACTCAGAGAAGGGAGGGATAACTCGGTAGGCAAGATCTAAATGGAGTGGAGAGGGTATTTCCCAATTTGGTGTTGGGTGGGACCCATTTGAAAATTTTAAATGATCTTAATAAAATGAATGTGGCCCGTTAGATTTGCTTAAATTAAGGATCAAGATTCTTTGTCAAATGTATTTGTCAAAAATCTTGGTCGGAGGAACACTCCCCTTTAAAGATAGGCAGGTAAGATCTAGTTCATAATATATTAATGAGCTCAAATGATTAGAATCGATCACTACTGTTGGCAAATATTGAGGTGTATTCCAAACAGTATTTATATAATTAATTACCCAGTGTTAGCATATGATATGTTCGGTTCTTATGGCATTCGTTCACAGTTTATTTTCCTTTACAGATCTGTCCAAATTTAATTGAGAGGGCTCTGAGCAGAAGCATACAGATTACACGGTCTCAGCAAACCGTTAAATACATGTCACAAGTATAAAGCAAATCAGGCAGCAGATTGACACGTTCTAGATACAGTGCTTCTATGGGTATTCATGAGCCATTGTGGTCACAGAAATACTGAAATAGCTAAATGAGATAATTGCGTGAAAATTCCCAGGATTAGATTAGCATTTATGTTTAAAAGATCAACTATGCAGAAACAGGATGAGACATCCGTACACGCCCATTCCATAAAAAATGATATAAAAAGGAAAAATGATTTAAGATCTTTAATATCCATATTCAGAATGAAGGAAATTTGGTTAGTATCAGCTTTTACCCCTTGTCATATATTTTATGAACAAAATGGTATTCTTCCCGGCCTAACAAAATATGTGCCGATAAAATAAAAACTTAGGTTCACTACAACACAGATATGGCTTAATTTAGACCAGTCAAGGGCAAAAAGTGAGGCATGGCTTCATTTAGTTCCTTATATATAAGAATCTGAAGAGTTTCACTATAAAAACCCAATAGTCACTGAAACTTTTGAAGTATTGTATTAAATGGTTAATTATTTCACAATTAAATTATTGAATAATCATTATGGTATCTAAAACTAAAAGATTTACAATTTCAAAAAAGTTAGAACATGCTCCTAGGTTTTCCAGATCTTTTAAGTTCACCAACACTTCTTCGTTTTCAAAAGCAGAGAAGACAGAAAATGGATTGCACTGAATTAGCCAAAACAACTAATATGCTTTTTATGAGAACTGCTCAGTACCCTTACATGCTAAGTGGGAAATATCAAGGAATTCAAATGCAATTGAAATCTTACAACTATAGTAGGAGCCCAAAGAATCCAGAAGGCAACCACAGAGAAATGGACGCAGGCTTGCACCCATGATAACAACCATATCCTTTTATCTGCAAAAAAAAAAAAAAGAGGGAAATATCGTTATATGTCTGAAGATGTTATCATAGACTTTATCAACCAATAGAAGAAAATCAAATCTATTAATTCCCAAGCATGCAACCATTTTACAGTTTGCATATGAGGTTTGCCTAATAACTTGACCAAATTCCCAACACAAAAATAAAAAGTTGACAACATGTTATATAATTCAATGGGTGCAAGCTGCATACCACTGATGACATTTTTGTAAAACAAAATCCGGTAATCCTTGAAAGATGCTGCTTGTGGAGCTTCTTTCCATCCACGTGTGACATAAGTGATAGCGATAACTGTTATAACAATAGCAGCATTGCCAATAGAAGCTATATTTTTGTTCACATTACTATCAATCAGCCAATTACCAAGCACCTGGCTGCCTATGAAAGATGCAGATTCAAAGAAAGTCATTAACCAAAACATATCATTCAGTGCATCTTGCCTCTGGCCCAGCTGCAAAAATATAAATAAAGATACTTGTTATTGCTCAATGGATTAGACCACCATTAACTGTGCTGCCTATAGATATGTAAGACCAACCTTGTCATTCTCAACTACCATCCATGTTTCAAAACTGAAGGAAAATACTGAAGAGGCTAAAGAGAGACAGGTGCTTGCCAACCAAATAGCAGGATCTGCAGTAATTCTCTTCCATATGCCAAAAAAAAGGTGCAGCATGTAAAACAACAAACATAATTTCTTATGCCCACTGCACTCACAAGGGCAAAATATTAAATTTCCATCTAAACAAGTGTTATAAAAAACATATAACTAGCACTTAAAGGTAACTCAGAACCGAAAATTTAAAACATTAGCATGTTCAAGTACAAAAAACAGCATTAAGTTTGCAAATGAATGCTTGCAAGATCAATCGTGAACTTAAAGGAGCAATGAAAGCAGTATTATTATATAATTGGAAATTAAACTGCAAGGCGTGATACCAAAAATCTAAGGAAGTCGATCACTTACATAAGATCAGAGAGCATTCCAAGAAAACTGCCAATAAATAGAGAGACCCCGTATCCAACACATAACGACATCACCATTTGCTCTTTACTCACACCGTAATATGCCCATTCGTACTCCCCAAACACAGGCCATAACCCTTCAATCACTGCATACAGAGAATAATCAAAAAGAAAATGGGAAAAAAACCCAGATAGATTAATAAAACTATATTTAAGATATGAATTAATAAAAAATAGAAAAAAATAAAGAAAGAAGGAAAGAAGGATGAATGACCTGAGGACAGTGAATAGAAGAGAAGAAAGGTTCTCTGGAAGCGAAGGAGAGAAGAGGAAGGCGCGTGATCAAACACATTTGGGATACTTTTGTTGGGCAAACAAAAGATTGAAAGGAAGCAACATATGAACATGAAGATGTACAGTGCTCTGTTCGGTTCCCACACTTCAGTTTCGATTGCTACTCCCATTGTTGAACAGAAGAGAATTCAGCGTAGATGATTACTATTTAGATCTCTAAATCCCAGATTGAAATCATAGTAAAAAGTTACAAAATCAAATTATTTCGAATTTAAGAAAAGATCTTGTTTGATTGACGAGTTAGGTTTGTCGGAGAACTGAGGCAGAATTGAATGCTCGCAATAATTTGGGATCTGAATCATAATCATATGGGCTGAAAATAGAGATAATTTAATTTATGGTGACTGAATTTTACTACAAGTTATCAATTGATCATCGATCTTTAAAAAGATAGTCATTGCTTTCTGAAATTTGCCACTGATAGTACTATTTGCTCATCGAAATTTAACATATTACTTGTTGTTCATCTAACTTTGAAAGAGTTATTCGTTGTTTACTGAATTTTTCTATATGTAACACGGGTGGAATTGATACAAGTGATTAATGAGTAACCTTGTTCAAATTTGAGTGAACAACGAGTAACTTTTTGAATTTTAGAGAGTAAGTAATAACATATAACAAAGTTCAATGAGCAATTAGTATATTTTTTAAATTTCAATGAACAAGTAGTAATCTATACCAAAGTTCATTGACCAGTTATTAATTTTATTCGTTGAGAATAACGCAATCCTAACAATGGATTGTATTACCAGGTCGGATTCGATTTTTCTAATTAACAAGGGTTGGTTGACAATTTTTTTGTAAAATTTTTAACAGATAAAATTGATAAAATATGTTATTTAAAAATTATGAATCTCATTAAACCCTTGTTTGATGGTCATTATTTGAAAAAAATAATTTAAATAGTGATTTTTAAAAGAACGTGTGGTTGAAAAGTAGGAAAACGACTTGAATTTATGTGTAGAATATTTTATTACATGAATGTGTTATTAGAAATAAGTGTATAGAAAAAAAAAAGAGTCTTTAAATAATCAGATGGGGTAAATGTGATCAAAGAAAGATTGACATGAGGACTCAAATGTCAAATTATTAATAAAATGATAGAAATGGAACTTTTAACACCAATTACCCTTATAAATATTGATAATCCATCTTTAGCTAAGTTGATTTAGGCACCGTTTGACACCCATTATTTTGAAGAATGAGTTTTTGAATAGTGATTGATGTAAAGAATGTGTGGTTAAAAAGTAAGAAGAATTTTTGGGTTTGTGTAATATTATTTTATTTGAAGAATGTGTGGTTAGAAATGAGTACTGTAGAAAAATGAAAATGAGAATGAGATAAAAAATGGGTGTCAAACAGGGGCTTAAGCTTTCTCTAACATTAAGAACACCAAGTTATATAATTAATTTGTATTTAAAAAGGTGTTGCTACAAGGTCGGACAAAAAAAAATCCATCAACAAATTGACCCGACCCAAATTGACTCGAGTTGGTTTGGATCGATTTCACAATTTACATGGTTTGGGTAGGTTAATGTGTAACCCAAACCAAGTTGGTTCGGGTTGATTGCGGTTTAGCACATTCAACCCAATCTTCATGTAATTTTTTATACTTTTATAACATGNGGGAGGGAGGGAGGGGAGGGGAGGAGAGAGGGAGGCGGAGGCGGAGGCGCGGCGGCGGAAGAGGGCGGCAAGAGAAATGGAGAGAGAGAGAGAGAGAATATGGATTGAAAATGAATTAGGGTTTGAAAACTTAGTATTATAATATTATTTAAATATTTAATTTATACCTGATTTTTGATTAGATAAATATTGGACCTGAATTTTGAATTTGAAAGTTAAAATCACTGGTTTTTTGTAATTTCCTCAATGTGTAACCCAAACCAAGTTGGTTCGGGTCGATTTCGGTTTAACACATTCAACCCAATCTTCATGTAATTTTTGTACTTTTATATCATGGAAACTCAAGATTTGCACAATGAACTTTATAGCATTAAATATCAAGTTTGCTCAATAGTCTAACTCCAAACTCGAGATTTGTCCTGCAAACTCGAGATTTGACATACTACCTTGTCAAATTTCTACAAGATTCGTTCTTAACTAATTTGGACACAAGACCAAACTGAATTGGACTGGTTTGGTTTCTACAATAAGATTGGTTTCGTTTGGGCCTCAATTTATCCAAATCAACTTGGACACTTTTTAGTGTCGGGCTGAACCCAAAATCTATCAAACTAGATCCACGCCCAACCCTAGCTAAAAAGCCTACAAAAGTGGTATCAGAAAAATTATAGTACAAATAATATTTGAATGCAACTAAACGACTTCTGTTTGGCAAATCTATAAATCAATTTATAAAATAAAAATAGTAGTTGGTCTCACGAAATATGTGAATAAAAGATAAATATAAATAGTAATTATGAATGTGTAGTTAAAATTAATGTTTTAAGTTTACTAATTAATTTATAAATTGGGTTTGCCAATAGGAGTGTTACTATATGTTTGACATCCATTAAAATAAGTTACTTACTCGTAAATTTTCAAAAAATTCTCTTCTTTGAGACGTGGTTGCAAGCAAGTACCATTTCAATCACACAAGCACTGGAGCAAATTTCACAAAATTTTAATTTTGGGGGCAAAATTGAAAACTATAAAGAATTTTTTGAAAATCTTGTGTAAAATCTTGGATTTGAAATTTAGCGTAGGGGCAACTAATCCCACTATCCCATACTAATTCCGTCACTGCACACACGCATTGATCTTCCAGGATCCAAACTTTGCCAAACTACCCTGGATTGGTGTTGAGTTTTCTACGATAGACGGTAGCTAATTGGGACTACTTAAACGTTAACCTGGTTAAGATATCTAAGCTCTCCAACTCATCTCTGGTTGAAAATCAACTTCTCTTTAGATGCATCGTTGATTAAATGTTTGCCGATGAAACCTTTTCTTTTTTGTGCACGGTCGGGGATGGACAAATCGCTCATTTCAATTTCAAAGTGGGGCAAAATAGAAAAACTCTTGGGTGAAATGAATAATTACTTCTTTCTGGAGAAAGAAAAAATCTGAATACTACTATTCTAATCCTAACAGTAATAATATAGAGAATCTCGACTTTAGGAGCATATACATTTACATTCATTATCGTATTAAATCCTAGTAGCCAAGCTTGAATCTTCGAACAACAGTGTAAAGTCGACAGCAACCAGCATATTATGCTTCGAGCAACCTGCAAAACAGTGGAATTCCCTCTTAACCTCAAGTATTTTAATAATTCCTTCCTTTAAAGAAGCAGAAATTTGCAACGTATGTTGCCCTCATTTTGCTTACTCCAAACAAAGCACAAGAGGAAGTCTGGAAACAATGCCAAAAACTAATCTTTCTATTTCGGAACAACAGAAAATGGAACTGGAGAGCAAAAGATCGATCTATTATAACAACTTTTCCCCTCAATATACGTATCTCATCTCTAATATGTATTAAAATGGGGGTGGTTCCTTGGATCATGCCTACACCATCTATGCTAGACTACCAGTATTTAGGCAGGTCAAAATTGCAGAATCATTAAAGCAGAAACATTTGCTCTGTGATAGAGAGCTTGGATCTAATTTATGTGGACAAGGGGATCAAGTTTACCTAATTCTGTGCAACGATGCTGATGACTAATCCACAAGTTTTAAGTCTTAACGTCACTAGTCAAAACGAAAACGAGGGATACTTAAAAAGACTTACTATTCTTCATTTTTTTTTTTGGCCATGGGAAGCTAGATCATCAGAAGTTCTGCATCTTGAGAAGCAGCTGTTCCTTCACCCTGTGTCAGTAAACATAATTATATATTTTCCACGATGTAGAAATTCTAATGTAATCGTATGCCTAAAATGAAAATGAAAATCTTGTCTACCTTCCAACCAGGAATTGACCTTGAAAGAAGCATAACGTACTGTTCCATTGCCAACTCCCGGTTCATGTTCCCTAAACTCTGCCAAGCATTCCTGTGACAGTATAGCCCATTAATCACAAACTATTGAGGTTCAATACTAGAACACTTTACTAAGTGAAAAACCAGCAGCCAACAACCTCAAATGTAGACTCAAGTTTGCATATCACATTCTAGGCAAGAACAATCAAGCGCAAATACTTTTTATCTCTCCATTCCCCAAAGTTCTCAAAAGTATGAATGGATTCTACCTACAAGTAAAACTCCAGTTTTCGCAGCAATTATCTCCAAGAAGTCTGTAAGTCCTTAAAAGTTCCAATTCTACAAAAATCTAATTTCTAATGTGCTTCTAAAAGTTACTTCCTCCAATGCAGAACCCTCCAAAATTAAGTTAAAATCTGTATTCCCATTAATGCTCTAAGAACAGCTTTATTACTGTAGTTGTACACACATATACGCACAATAACAACTCCAAGAACCAAAAAATCAACACTAAAAACTAAAATCAATAAGGAAGATCATAAAGAATGTTTAGTTTACCACTTTGCGCGAGCAGAAACCTTCAATGACATTGGCTGTGGTGCACGACAAGGTCCTTCAAGAGCAACCTTATGAAGACCATATAATTGCATCTTCAGATCATGATCAACTCGATCGGCATTATTCTTAGAACCAACAAAAACCACAGCATCACCAAATCTCTTCTCCAATTCTGTTCTCTCTACCCCCTCCCAATCATCAAGGAATCCCTCTTCCTCTTCATTATTATTCCTCAAAATATGAATCTCATTCCCTTTCATCTTACTGTCTTCAGTAGTAATCTCCGAGACCCCCAATTTGTTGGAACAATTTGTAACTTTCTGTACTGGTTCTTCGATTTGTAGGGATTCTTCCCCCCCAGAAACCTTAGGGGTTTCAACCTCACAATCACCACCGCCACCGCCACCGACACTTCTATTCTGTTGGTCTCGCAATAATTCTGTAACAACCGACTCAGCTCTTGTATTGCTTACAGAACCATGAATTTCCACCTCTTTTGTACGATTTTGTTCATTACCAAATTTTCTCACCTTCTCATCAAGTACTTCAACCCAGTGGATAATCGAAACCACAATTGCAGAAAAAACCACAAACCCCAATAGCACAAACTCGACTACTTCCATATCGTAGGTTTCGAGAGAGAAACAGACTAGAACTTAAGATCAAATAAGCAATCCTGGAATTATTATGCTACTGGGAACAGATAAACAGAGAAATAGGATTTTGCTCAGCAGAGAAAGGCATATTCGGCCTCGGATTATTGAAAGCTGGACCCAGGCAAAACTCATGTTTGAAAAGGACCCTTAAACGGACCAGCCATTTATATGGTAATGTTTGATAGTGAATAGAGTACTAATCTATGAATCTTTGTCTTAATAGGATTATTTAGAATTTAGCAATTGGAAATTTACCTTTATGCATTTCTTGATCACTTTTTGAGTCACATATCATTTAAACTGAGATTGATATACCTAAAATTATAATCATATTGTTTTGTGATTTTTTTCTGTGATTGTGGTTTCGATTATCATGATTATTATCTGATAAATCTCGAAATAATGCACCGATCAATATGCACACTAACATAATATTCTATTATATATCATGATTCATGATTATTATTTAATATTTTTTTTTGGAAGGCGCATAATGTTTTAATGAACTAACGTATACTATTGTTTAGCCAGATTTTACTTGAATTGTAAAAACACATGTTTATATATAATATCATATTGTAATTTACAAATAAGATTTTGTATTGATACGTTTGCATTTTTTAATATTTAAATTATGTACACATAATATATACATAATTTAAACAATAAGTTCAAATAATTTATTACTAAAATCTTTAACAAAGTTTAAAATAAAATTTCCACTAGCATGCATATTTATATTTTTTTTCGTAAATTTTTGAAGTATTAATTATTAAAGCAAACAAATCAAATTGTAATTAATTGTAAAAAAATGTATCTTTTTCTTCACAGTGATATTTTAGGTGTATCAATTTCATTTTAGATGATATATAACTCAAAAGTGGCCAAGGGCACATGTGATAATTTTAAGGGATAATTATAGCAGCGGTACCAAACCTTTCATTTAGTAGTACACTTTGTCAAAACCTTTAATTTGTGTCACCCACGGTACCAAAAATTTCATTTTTGTCACCAACGGTACCAAACCTTTCAAAATGTCCACATCTGAAGTCTAAATGTATGGTTTCTGTTAGTTTGATCATTAGGTGACCAAATAATTGATTTTGACAATAATGTTGACTGATTTTAAAAAGGTTAAAATGGTAATTTAACATTTTTTAATAATAAAATAACAAAAATCAAATAATTAAAATTAAAAACCAATTCCACCCACCCCCCAACCCCACCCCCACCCCCAATCTGCAAATCTGGGTTTGGAACTTCGAGAACGTTTCAACAAGCTCAAGAATGGAGTCCCTAGAACCGAATGTGCGCTCTGTTGCAATGGCAGTGGCTTTAAGGAACTCTACATGTGCATTTAGCTTAAAACTTCATCTTGATTAACCATGGAATCAGAAACTCAAAACTTCATTCCGCGGTCCTGGTTTTCACGGGCCGGTTTTCACGGGTCATGGCCGACCCGTCCGTCTTGACACCTCTACACACACTTATCCCCACCTTCCCTCACCCAACCCCAACCAAACGAACCAAAATCCACACACCTCCACTTTGCCGACGATCGCAATCCACCCACATACGGACTGCAGCGACCGCCACAAGCACCCCCGCAAATTATCAGCAAGAAATGGACCATTAAAGATTTGGGCGAAGTCTGCTACTAAATGAAATGTTTGGTACCGCTGCTGCAATTATTCCTATTTTTAATTCATATGAACAAGTGTCTCTGATATTATCAAATTAAAGATGAGAGATGGTTTTTTTTTTGTCTCTATTGGAATATCTCCAAGATGCTATTTAAAAGTAAAATTATCTATAATTTATAGAGTCAACCATTAAAATGATGCTTAAAGAGACTTTTCAAATTAACATTTTAAAATAAAGAGTGAGTAATGCACTCTCTAATTCAAAATATTACAGTTTTGGCTTATTAGCACAAAATGTCACTACATTTAAAAAATTTGTATTTTCACACCTATTTTTACGTTTCATTGCGAAAACATCATTTTCATCCATTTTCTCAATAAAAATATGTGACAAATATACCCTCATATTTAAATACAAAAGGAAAAGAAAAGAAAAAGGAAAAGAAAAAGAATTAATTGCAACCATAAGCCCAAGTTTTTCAAAAAAAAAATAAATACAAATGAATCAAAAACAAATAATTAAAAATCAAAACTAAAAAAACAAAAATAACTTCCCCCATCCCACCCCACTCGTTATTTTGGAGACTTCATGGAGCCACAGACTTCCATCTCACCAATCACCACCTAAACGGCTGGAGCTCACATCACAAACAATCACCATCAACCCCTAAACACTTTCCCATAAACTAATTGAACAAACAACAGATTTATATGGTCAATATTATTCGAGTATTTAATAATTTTTACTTTTTAATTTATACGTTCTCTCTAAATTGCAAAATATGCTTTTCAAAAGTAAAGAGTCTATTAAATATGCTTTTAGTTTTTTCTTGCTCATAAACGGTAAGTTATATGTATTATCACAATCAAATGTATGTTTGATTGTTTTGAGGATTTTTAAGATACAATTGGTACACCCATTATGAACAATGTTTTGTTATTGCAATTGGAAAATTTACACGGCGTAATCTACAATTTAAAGGAAGGTATTTAATTATTATAGAGACATTTTCGACCTTTTTGAACATTACATAACTGTCATCTAATAGGAGGAAGAAAAATAAAATTATTCTATCTTAGATGTTGAGGGATTTTTTTGGAGAGAGGCCGAGAGGGGCATTGTGAGAGTTTTGGAGGACTGTTTTGGAGATTTCTTTAGGAGTTCAGATCTATCAGAGAAAGAGTTGGATGAGGGCATGAGGGATGACTATTTATTTGGGGAAGAGGAGGCAATGAAGTTAGAGAGGACATTTTTAAGGAGTTGACAACATTATTGCGGCCTTTGAGTTGCTACACTCTTTGGAAAGGAGGTTTAATAGGAATAAGGGCTTCATGACCCTTAAAATAGATATGAGGAAGGCATATGATCTGTAGATTGGAGTTTGTGCATCAGGTGATGGAAATAATGGGGTTCTTAGCTAGATGGACAGAGCTGGTAAAAGAATGTATATGCCCTCTAGGTTTTCTTTTCTTGTGAATGGGAAGGAAATGGGGATAACGATTCCATCCAAGGGATTTCATTAAGGATACCCTCTTTCCCTATACATTTTCCTTCTTTTAGCAGATGTGTTATCAGGACTTTTTCAATTGACTGGGGATTCTTGTGAAGATGACTTGCAACATATGGAATCCAAATTTGACTAAGACTAGGAGGGACGAGTTATAAGGTTTTCTTGGTGTGAACATGGCCAACATATGATACTTACTTGGGGATGCCCATGGTGGTGGGGTGGAATAAATAACAAACCTTTGAGTTTATTAGAGTTAGGGTGTAGAAAAAAATTCAAAAGTGGATAAGACCTTTTTTCTCATTTGGAAGATGGGAAGCGTTAATTAGGGCAGTGCTTTCGACGATCACTTCCTACTTAATAAGCCTATTCAAGGTGCATGCCTTTGCGTGAGGGGACATCGTGTTGATTATTTCGAGGGTTTGGATAGAGGGTGAAGAAGGGTAGGAGATAGATGGCAGTTTTTGGGATGTCCAAATTGGTTATTAAAGTGAGATTTGAACAAGGTCAATTGTTTTAGGAATATCAACTATGAAATTTAGGATTTCACTTTTGGATCACAACTGTAGATTTCTTTGTGGAGGATCAAGATGCGAGTAGTTCTCGCAACAATGACTGGGAAGGAGAAGCAATGGAAGGATCAAAAAGTCATATCACAAATACATTTTCATCTTTGTAATCAAATTTTTCAAGATGTGGTAAAAGAGAAAAGTGTTGTTGTTGAAATTGAAACATCTTTGTATGACAAAGAGTTTGACCAGTAAGTTACACTTGAAGAGCTTGTTTTCTCATCGCTTGATAGAAGATGGATCTTTGGAAGATCAACTATCGGTGTTCAAGAAAATCGTCTTTGATTTGGAGACCGTAGAAGTCAAGCACGATGAAGAGGGTTTATAGTTGATATTGTTATGTTCCTTGCCGCCTTCATATGTGACTTTTAGATGTACTATTCTCTATGATTGGGATACTCGCACTATTGACGAGGTATATAATGCACTTTATTTTAAGGAGAAGATGAAGCATCTGGTTGTCGGTTATAAAGCCCAGTCAGATGGTCTTGTTATTCATGAGAGGAAGACGAGTGGTTATGGAAGGGGCAGAGCCAAAAATAACAACAGTGATAAAGTTTATTAGTATTACAACAACAAAGAGCGCATGAAGAAGGATTACTATGAGTGGCGAAATAGATTTGCTATTACAGATTAGAAGGAGTACCAGAAATTTCCGATAATGTCAATCTTGCATAAGAAGATAGTGATAAAGATCTTTTGGTAATTATTGATAATGACTCTAAACTAACGAAGATTGGATGCTTGATTCGGCTAACACTTTTCATGTGTGTTCAAACCGGGATTGTTTTCTTCATTTGATACAATTACAAGGGGTTCTATGATGATGGGAAACAATTATCCTCGTAAAATAGCTGGGATTGGTAATGTCAAAATCAAGATATTTGAAGGGATGGTTAAAATAGTTGGCCAGGTTCGACAGGTTCCAGGTATAAACAAGAATTTAATCTTTTTGAGTACTCTTGATTAAAAAGGTACAAGTATACCAATGGAGATGGAGTTTAGAAAGTTAGCAAGGGTGTCCAGGTTGTGTTAAGGAGACGGAGAAGGTCTCAATTATACGTGTTAAAAGGTTCGACGGTCACTGTGGATGCAGTGCATCTTATGGTTTAATAAGCAATAACTCATGTAGATTTGGTTGTGGTCGGATTATTCGTATTGATTCGAATAGTAATATTGGGAATCTTCCTATAACTCAAGTGGAGCTAGTCATGATCTTGTTGATCATTTGCTCATGATTATTTGAG